GTAGCTCCAAAAACAACTCTCTCTCTTTTTTCTTTCACAATGCTCATTTTTAGAATTCAAAATACTGCATCTGTGATTATTAATTTCAAGCTATGTGGAAGATAAGGCAGACTCTTGTCACCTTGTCTTTGATTGTTCCATGTTCAACTGTCTTCACAGCAGGCTGGGGTGTGGTAAAGTTTGCAGGTGGTGGTGTCATGGGGTAGAGAGTAGAGAGAAGAGAGAGAGCTGGGTTCTGGGTTCGTTGCACACACACACACACACACACACACACAGAATTTTTTATTTTTCAATATTTTATTCATATTTTAATCAATTCGAAATTAAAAAAATTAAAAAATGTGGGATCCACAATGCCACGTAGGCAATTAACAGAGAGATCTGACAGAAAACCTAACGGCGGACCACATTGTAACAAATTTAAAAGACCGGGGTATATGATTGTTAAAATTGAAAAGATAGGGACTAACATGTCTTAAGGGTGTAACCACAGGGTACTAAACTGTAATTAACCCAAAGCTCAATGCTCTAGTATATGTGAAGTATAATACGGCGCTAAGAGAGGGAAGTATTAGAAGGAGGTCAAAGATTGATCCAATATTGGTGAATGAAATTGAGTCTGATGATGAATGGATAGCTGAGGTTTAAGAACCAATTCTACCAACTGATCTTACTTGGCTTAATTATCAAGAATTATATGATGTTGATGTAAATTTGTAATCAGAAATATGCCCACTGAACCTTATGAAACTGATCTACATGCTCGAGTGCCTATTTCTATGGAGCCTATTGTTGATCCTAGGACTCAAGAGCGAGGGAATATTCATGTTAGGACTTAAGAGCCTACTGTCCATTATTCTAGAATTCAAGATCCTATTATTGATGATGATCCTATTCTTGACGATGATGTTCTTCTTTCCTCGTTAGCTTCAAAAAAGAGAAAAGATGGTGAAACCTCAAGTAAGTATGGAAAGTAAATCATGGAGTGTTTAATTCATTACAACTAAATTTTATAATTTTAATTCATTGTTCATATGTATAGGTAAGAGGAAAGTCAAAAGCAAGTCCATAAGAGCGATGCTTATGGATGAAGATGATGAGATAGATAGAGATCCTTCAACATTTGACAGTGGGAAATATCCTTTTCATATTGATACAGTTGATCAATATGATAGTGATGCTAGTTTGAATGATATTAGTGTTGAGGAGTGGGATGAGTGAATTATATTTTTGTTTTGATGTTGAAGATCAATATGATAGTGATGTTAGTTTGAATGATATTAGTGTTGAGGAGCGGGATGAGTGACTTATATTTTTGTTTTGATGTTGAATAAATATTTTATGTTTTGGGATTGATTATTATGCTTTGAATGACAATTAGTACTTATATTTAATTATATTTATAAGATTGTTATGGTTCAATAAGAATTAGTTGTACAATTTAATTGTATTGTATTATTCATAGATTTTCCTTATTAAAATAAATTAATGTTCAAAAGACTTACGCCTCCCATAGCGCTACTAAAAACGCATCGCCTTTGAAAACATTATTGATTCAAACACTGGGGGCCATCTCATATCCAAGTCATCTTCCCAGACGGTACCTGTAATATTAGAACAAATTTTCACACATCATAAGTGAAAACCAAGCTGGCACACCATTGTTAGCATGAACTGATACTCTCACAGCTACTTTACAACCTTGGTGGCCAAAACGACGCTCCTTGCTCCTACCCTGACCCTAAGTCTGGGCTCGCTGAACCACTGGATACATTTCTGTAGAGTCGAAGAAATTGGTGCCGGATAGGAAAGCTTGGTCGAGGAGGCCAAACGACTCCGGAAACGTGTTTTGCTTGCCGAAATTCATCGTCCTTGCGACGAATGAATTTATATTTTAGGATGAGAGGGAGGGCCAAAGAATCAGACTCAGAGTTGGTAAGATTGGGGACGAGGTTAAAGAGAGGCACCACCATTGCTTCGCCTGAGAAGCTCCTTGAGTGTATCAATTGAGTGGAACGGGAAGGAGAAAAATCAAAGTATCTGCTATATCGGTGCAAGTTTGGTGGATTTTCAAGGATTCGACAAGATAAAAATAGAACCGAGTTCTTCGAAATATCATCCAATGAAAAAAAAAAAAAAATCCACCTAGCCGGGCTGGCGGGTTGGGTTCTATTTTTTATTTATTTATTTTATTTCCCGACTTTAAATGAAACCTAGTCTTGGAGGGATATGGAGAGGAGGAGGAAGAGTTATTAGATTTAGAGGCCTAGTGTTTCACTTCAAGTATTTTTCTTTGTAGTAACTTTTTCCCATGTTTTATATCAATTGTGGTTTTTTATAATTTATATATCGTTTTATTTTGCATGATTTTGGTGTAAATTTATAATTTATAATACAAAATAATTATTTTTAAAAAAAAAGGCCTAGGCCCAATTACTCTTCTAGGCTCTAAGTTCCTCCTTACCGCCTAGCGATTTTTCGAACATTGCTATCTACACCTATAAAATTCTTCATTCCACAATATAATTGATACTAAATATTTATTTACTAAAAACACCTGCAAATCAAATTATTTTTACATTGACAACTATTTCCTGCTGATAATTGAAACAAATATTTGTTTACTAGCATTACCATTTCCCCTTATCTTTTGATCAAATAAACAACCTTTATTACTTCTTCAGAAACAATCAAAATAACATTCAAGAAACAACAAGAAAAGCTGGAGAAAGGAGGTGCACCTATGGTGACCTCATAAAACCTTGCCTTGAAAACTCCCAGTTGAGGAAAATTCGGTCAAGGAAAAAGAGTACCACACACCTCCCTTAAAAACACTAAGCATTTTCTCTATTCGCCACCAGCTTAAACCATCCCAAAACAATTGCCGCCGTTCACGTAAGCCGAAGTGAGCCAAAAGGTGCGCCCCTTAATTCCCTTTGTGAGGTTGATAAAACACTTCATGCACTTGCAAATGCACCAATATATTCCTCACATCTTCAACCATATTGCCTAGATTGCTCCAACATTTGCCAGATCAAGTAATAAGTGACATTGCCTCTTGAGAATCAAAAGCCAAAAGAAAATTTTGGTAACCTCTCCACAAATCCATTAACAAACCTTCCCGCATCGCAGCGAGTTCGGCTCCCAGAACATCAAGTCCAACATGTCCTGATAAGCACATAATTATTACAATTTCTATCCCTAAATATATATTTGTTAGTGCATTAATTTATGTTATTTTGAGCTTTTAGGCTAAAGTTTGATTTTTATAAGTTTAGACATTATGCTAATAAAAATATTGGAAATTAAATAACTACTTTCTCTTAGTAGGTTCTTGGTCAGATTGGCAACAAGCAAGAACAAGGAAAGAAGAATGGTGGAGACTAGATGGCGTTGAACATATGGAAGTTGGGATTAAACAAATAAATGAATGAAGAAGTGGTAATGACATTGATATAAATAAAACAAAATGCATAAGGCACAAAGGAAAGAGAAGGAATTTAATTGTCAAAAAGATGAGATGTGCCACCCAGCAGATAAAAAGAAGTTCAGCAAAGCCAAAGAAATAGAAGAAAATGGGAGAGAAACCGTGGGGA